CTATCTATATTATTTCTATTGGTTTTATCAGATATGCAAGATCTCAAGCAGGATCTAACACAAGGACAAGAGGCCATGACACATGACCTACAACATGGACAAGAGACTGTTACGGATTACCTGTGTAACATGCGCACGCATGTAAAGTGTAGCATGTGCGAATAAAACCCAGTCAACGCCATCTTGTTTGTGTTAGTCATTCTAGTAAATACATGACAGAGACCATGACACGGGACCTACAACATGGACAAGAGGCCATGACACGGGACCTACAGCATGGGCAAGAGACCATGAAGAAAGGTCAGTCATGAAGTCTTGGAATATAAAAGGCACATTTTCATGTGTTTGCATAATTTATTTCCAAGACCATGTACAATAGTTTATTTACTTTTTTACTCAGATATTTATTTCTTTTGAGGATTAGTGAAACAGCTAGCACGAAATAACTTAGGAAAGTGTGCAAAGGATTCTGGTCTTGGTAGTTTATGATGCCGTAGTGAAAGTGTTCTTTTCATGACATATTAAACAAAGAAGTATAGACATGGCAGAGTCTATGGGCAAACAATTTGTCGAATTCACTGTGGTACAATTGTAGGGGGAGTGCCTTTTGTCAGCATTGGGATGACAGATATATGACATACAACTGATGAATTAAACATCAGTGATTTCATATCTGATATACAACTGATAAATTAAACATCAGTGCTAGTTAACTACTTGCGTAAGTTATAACTACATGTATGTCTATATCCCTGTTATACAAAAGTCAAATTCCGATGCAAGTTATTTTCACACGTGCATGTATTTAAGTAGCCAAGTTTTTGTAAACTAGGTTAGTTTTTTTAACTGAACCGAACGGAGCCAAAACAAGCAAGGTTATCCCATGTACCAGAATTCTAGAATTAAAAGAAATTTTGCAAAACAAAACGTTTGCTAAAGATATGTAACACTTGCAATTAAGACGACTCGACTGGGTAAAGGCTTTGACGCACCTTGTCCATTTTTGATCGTGAAATGCATCTCGGTAATTTTCAAACCAAAACTAGATAAAGATGAAAGTTTCTTTTTGTATTAAAATCAAATTGATTGGATATTAAACGCTTGGTGATTAAGTCTCATTTTAGTGCAAAAATTTTTATAAACCAAAGTAGATTGATTGTAAAATTCCAAGTTGTATTTGCACTTATTTCATACTTGATTCAGTTTTCTTTGTTGTTCATAGTGTTGTATCTAGCTTATTCCACAGCTCATTGTGTATTCAAGTGCTTTATATCTAAGTTTCAGGACAATATCTAGATATATGCCCTTGAATACTAATGTATATTGCCCTTGAATACCTAATTAACTACTACGTTCAACTTAGAAATTTTCTGTCTGAAACTTTAAACTTGAAAGAAAGAAAGAAAAATTCAAATGACACCAAGTAGATTTGAACCCACAACCTTAGCTTTGAAAATCCTATACTTAACACGTTAAGCTAACTGACTAATCGATGTCAGTTATGGAATAAAACAGTTATTTAACATTGTCCAGTTACTTGTTACAAAAAGCTATATTGTTAGCATTGCTCTCATGGGACTAACAAGAAAAATGGTTATGCAAATTTTTCCGTTGGGAATTGTCAATACTGTAAAATTCATAACCTTTCTAATCGAGGTTTTCGTTTTTAAAGGAGAAGTCCACTCCCAGAAAAACCCATATTGAAATAAAAGTTTGATATTTGATTAATATTTTAGCGAAGTCTTACCTTTGTAAATTTAACTATGACCGAGAAACAATATTCGGAACTCACTCGAAAATGTACACTTCGAAGCCGCCATCTTGTACAGGAATCCGAAAGCCGCGCAAGGACTGGATCGAGACTGTGACGTCACTGCGGG